AAATTTTAAAATTCCGCTGCGTGTGCGATTGATTCGTACGACAAAAATCCAACAATATTTACCACCAAAATATAAACTATGCATATCCTCATATGATATTATCTCCAAACATTCTTACACAAAATTCTTCACACCAATATGATGTGAAAAAATATTTAAAAAAAAAAATGATGTATGAAATATTCTTATAACACAATTAACAGGGCCATCTCGGTTGTCCTAGGCACAGCCGGAGCCCTCTAGTAAATAATATAAATTAATCATGTTTTAAACAAAACATTATAAATGAAAACAAAGAAGAAAAATGACACAAAGTAAGCAATAACCACAAAAAAATTACATAAAAAGTTTGAGTCATGTAAAAATATATATATAATTTTTTGGTTTAATATAATATAAATTTAAATTAATATAAGTTAAATAATTATATCATAGATTATATTAGTAAAATATGGCTAAAATATATTTTAACTAGTACATATTAAGATGAAACCCAAAATTTAGACCGTGCCGGAGCCCAAATGAGCCACTATGTGGCTACTCACACACAATAACCAATAACGTAACCAGTCAAGTGAACCACTACAAATTCTTGTGAGTGGTAGGCAATTTAACAGTTAACGAGTCAATTTGTCACACTTTATATAACAAAGATGAATATTTACACTTTGAAATATTACACTTTTATTTTATGTTATGCAATTGAATTCATAAATATTATTATCTGTTGAAAAAAATATGATTGTCTAACTATTAGGTCTGTGCATTCTCACTCCATTGTCACGTTGTCTCATGTGAGTGCCAATCTTAGTTAGTTGAGACGCATGCATTACAAATATTTCGAAAGAAAATAAGGCAGCATGAGATTTGGAAAAGGTTGTCTGTAATAATTTCTTTTCCGCCATTAGTGACATTGACAAAATACCTACCGACTCCAAAAAATGACATTTGACCACGAAGATGATGTTACTTGATTCGTACTAGAAAATGCTTTAACGAACTCATTAGCCTAAAAAAACATATATATATACGCATGTTTAACATAGTGAAAAATTATTTTTAAGTTTTTGTATGTTATCTTATACAGTGTTTTGTGACCCGGACCGGCCCGACGGGTCGACACGGGAACCGATCGACCCGGAATCGGAACCGGTCCGGGTGGGTTAATTGGACCAGGCAACAACGGACCCGGTCAAATCCGGCCGACCCGACCTTGACCCGGTCGACCCGGGGCATTGACCCGGTTGGGTCAACCCGGTTGACCCGGTCTATATGTATTTTTTTTTTTTGTTTTTTTAATTTTCTTTTTCTTTTTAAAAATAAAATTATGTATATATATTTATATGATAAATATATACATATTATTACCACTTTAATCTACAAATTTTACATACAAAATATTTAAATTTGTTATTTTTATGTATATTTATATATCACAAAATACTCTATATATAATTTTATAAATTTTAAAATTAATTATTCGGTTCAACAATTGACTCGGTGACCCGGCGGTTAAACCGGTGACCCGGTGACCTGAAGACCTTCCTTGGTCGATTACCGGGCCGAGTTTAAAAACTATGATCTTATAGTATATATATAAGATTTTTCTACCTTTTTTGTATATAAGTGACATAAATTCTATGGTGCCACATGTGGTACTATATTATGGTGTCACAACATGATGTGGCACATTATGGTTGGTGCCACAACATGATGTGTGATAGTATGACACCAATCATAATGTGCCACATCATGTTGTGGCACCATAGAATTTCTGATATAAGTGTGGCGTAATTGTCTCCATGTCGAATTCGACAGCTGTTTACTATGCCTCAATTTCACAATAATAAGATAAAAAAACTGCTACTAATTTATGTTTACTAAGCCTCAATTTCACAATAAGATAAAATAAAAATTACTACTAATTTTAAATTATAACTTTGAAATTAACTATTCGCTTCTATTTTATTTTATTCGTTGTAATTTTTTGTTTATTCAACAATACTTTTCAAGATTTTTTCCAATATCCTCCCTATATATAATTCCCGAATGCGCTGAGCCTACGTGGCTGCTTCTGGTGCTTCGGAATCTTATTTGGCGAAGAATCATGCTTCGTAATTAGGTTTGGATAAATAATATTGATATATTAATAATTAATAATCTAGGTTCGGGTATTCCATAAATATTATTTAGCTAACTTAGGTATTTTAATATCACTTTTACTAATATAACCCTTTAATTTTTTGAAATTTTACATAGCAAGACACTAAGTGACTAATATATCCCTGAATTTTGATTTGTTTCCTTCAATAAGCTATTGAATTATAAATATATTTTTAAAGTTGATAACTTTTGTATTTCTTTTTGGTTTTACATATATAATATATCAAATTAATCATCTTTTGATTATCTTCGATTTGACATCCATATTGTATATATAAAATAAATAAATTATATTTATCTTTATAATAATAAAAATTAATAATATTTATTAAGATTCATTAGAAAAATAAAATTATTTCTTAATTGATATATTTATATGTAATGTAGTTATATATTGTAAGTTAACAAAATTAGTATAATATAACACAAGTAAGTTCCACAAATAAAAAGTGTCATAATAAATATATAATAATATATATATAATCTTATAAAAGGTATTTAAATTTTCAAACTACTTTTTTCTCATTAATTTTACATTTTAAGAAAAAAAGTTAGCAAGCACCCGTGTAATATACGGGTGTTGTACTAGTTTAAATTACAACTCAAGCGACATCATTTTGTGTACATTTATGCCGAAAAAATGTCCAATATTCGATATTATCGAAATGTATGGTATAATTATAATGATTGACTTAATATTCCTAAATTGCCAAATTTGACCCTGTCCTACCCACATCGAAACTTTTTTTTTTTTTTTTTATCGAATATTTTATCGCACAAAGATTATATTATGGAAATAAGAAGTGAGTCAAATGAAATAGCATTGACTGACATCCGAAGACAAAAGGGCACCGTGTAATTACCTTTTTCTTTTCTCCAAAAACAAATTAAAAGGAAAAAAGAATAAGATACTATGTTTTCCTATGTATATTAATCAGAATGCGCTTAGTGTATGTAGTTGTTTCTGGTGCTTTGGAATTATATGTGACAAAATTACATGTTTCGTTATTAGACTTAAATTTTAATTTAATTTCAAACAAAAAATAATTAGGTTCGGATTACCATAAATATGATGATTATTTATGGTCATGTTACATGTATTAATTGTATTTTAATATCCTTACTTATTATAACTATTGAATTGTATATATATTTTAAAAGTTAATAACTTTTGTATTTTTTATCAGTTTTACATATGTAATATATCAAATTAATATTCTTTTGATGAGCTTCGATTTAACATCCATATTGTATGTACAAAAAAATAATTTATATTTATCTTTACAACAATAATAAAATTATTTTTAATATTAATTAGAAAAATAAAATTATTTATCAACTAATATATTTATATTTCAAGTACTTATATGATATAAATTATATAAATTAATATAATATAACACATGTAAGTCATGAATAACACATATTATTCTAAAATATATAATAATATATTTTTTTTTTTTGTAAAAAAGTAAACTAAATTAAATATAGTTTTGTCATTAGTTTTAAAATTTAAGAACAATTTTTTAACAAAGCACTTGTGTAATACACGGATGTTGTACTAGTAATACTGGTAAATTACTAATACAATAGGAGGTGCACGAATTCTATGGTGACCCCGGGAACACCTGAACACCAACAACAGCACATATGTGTAAATTTTGGTGGATTCCGTTTTGGTGGGTGAGACCATCTTCGTCCTTAAATTTTGTTCCTTCCTTTTTTTATTAAAAAGATCATATATTTTTTTTTTTTATAAAAATATTTTAAAATAGAAAAATAACTCCACCCGCCCCTCTCTCTCTCTCTCTCTCTCCTCTCTCCTCACTCCTCACCGCACCTTTCTGTCGCATAGGAAAGCGTAAGAAACACAAACAGAGTCCCAAAAGCAGCGTAAATGCAAAGCTGAGTGAAAAACCCAAACCTGCGTCGCACGATAGAGCCATCCGCCCTGAACCTCGCCGCGCCGTGCTGTTGAATCTGCGAAAACTGCGCTGTTTTCACAGGATTCAATTGCTCAGATCGAGTTTTGCCGACAGCGTTTTCCTTGAGGATTTTCATCATCCCCGAGCATTTGGAGGTAATGCGAACGAATCTGAGTGTACGGACTGTGCATGTAGATTTAGATGCGATGGAGCGCTTGAATGTGGACTCCTTCTCTTAGCATGGCATTGTCTTTTATTTTCTTTTCTTTTTT